CGAGGCCCAAGACTAGAGATGCTGTCCCAGATCCCCCTTCTAACTGAGTCGGTGGCTAGGCAGGCGGAGGGGTAGAAGGTGGGAAGGGGCGGTGAGGAAGGTGAGGGCGTACCGTGAGGGCCAGGCCAATGGTGGTCAGGCTAGAGGCGACCTGCTGGTGTGTCCTCAGGAAGCTCCAGATGCCCTGCAGGCAGTCCTGTGAGAGGGCAGCAGGCATGGCACCCACCCTGACCAGCCCTCTCTGCCTGGGCAAGTGGACTCTTTGGGGCACGGAGCTGCAGCACCTACCCAGGCCAATGCCAGGGCAGCAGGGAGGTGGGGTGCAGCCCATTCCCAGTGAGTTCTAGGGAAAGGCAGCACAAACAGGTGAAGCCCAGTGGGACAGGGCTGGCCTCTGTGGGCACCCGGGCACTGCCCTGGGCCCAGCAGGTGCTGTCTCCCAGCTGTCCTGAGCAACCATGTTGGGCCACACGTTGGCTCCCCTGGGCTGGGCTGCTTCTGACTCACTCTGGGTTCCCAGCGTCCAGCGCCTTGGTGACCAGAGAGGGTGCTGGCTGACAGGGAGGGCAGGAAGCCAGCAGGTAGAGGGATATGGGGGCTTCTTGCACGGTCCCAGGATCCTGGTTCCATTCTTGGTTTCCCCTGCCACCCCAGGGCATGGCACCCAGAGGCATCTTTCCAGAAAAGGGAGGTGGCAGGCGTGTCTCTGAGTCCTGGAGACGGTGACAACTGGGGCGGGCTTCGGAGGCTTCCGCAGGGTCTCAGGGCTCAGCCTCCTGCCCCTGCAGGCAGCTCTGCCTCCCTCCTGCCCATGGCTGCCCATCTGGATGGCTCTGTGCCCACCGCCTGTGCTGGCTCTTCTGGATCCCCAGGAGGCTTCAAAGTCGGGCCCATGGTTCCTGCCATCCCGGAGTGCTCAAGGCAGTCCCTGTTTTGCAGTCAGGGGACCTAGGGCCTCTCCTTGGGTGGCACAGGGTTCCCAACTGTCAGTCCTGCCCTTGCTGCTGCTGGTGCCTCTCCAGCGCCATCCCCAGCACCGGCCTGGGCTGTGGCTCCACCCCTCGCTAAGCCTCCAGCCATTTGCTCTCCCCTCTGTTTCTTGGAGGGTCGCCAGGCGCCTCCCACCATGAGATAGGGTGGGTCTGTTTCCAGGACAGTAGTGGAGGGAAGTAGGGAGGGGGAGGGCGGGCTGGGGGAGGGTTGCTGGGCACCAGGAGAGGGAGGGGAGGGCCCATCTCTCCCAGGGCCCTGGGAAGGAAGGGCTTCCTGGCCTTGGCCTGCTCTGGCTCTGTTGCTGCTGAAACTTTGGCCACACCCTGGCCTACGCTGACCCTCCAGCCTCGCTTCTCCTCCTCCGAGTGCCCTTCCACTCCTCCTGATGCCCCCTAGGATCCTTGCACCCTTCCCCCTAGACAGAGCAGACCAGGTCTGCCCTGCGGGCCCTTGGCACAGAGCCCTCACGGGTGCACTCCAAGAGGCTTCTGTGGCCGCAGCTGGCCTTGGGAAGCCCCCCAGCTGAAACCGGCTTGAAGGAGTGAACGGCGCACGGGGCCTGCACCCAGCTGGGCGGAGGGTCCTGTGTCTATGCCTCGAGTCCAACCTGGCCACATGACCGGCTTCATGCCCCATGATCCCTCACTAGCCTCCGATCACACCAGAACCTTCCCCGAGCCCCTCGGTGGGCAGGTCCCAAGGGTCTGGGGAGGCCAAGGGCTGGGGTGAGAGGATGTCCCTGGGTCTCAGGGTTGGGCCCCAGGGTGTCCAGCCCCTGAGGGTCTTGCCTGGCCAGCATCCAGGTCCCCCCCTCACCTCTCTTGCCGCCTGTTCTCCCTGACACAGGTCAGCCTCTGTGTTCCCGAGACGGCTGAAAGGAGATCTCTTCCCACAGCACAGAAACTACAAGAACAGATGGGAGGGAGTGGTGATGTGTTCCTGAGGCCCCAGGAGGCAGACAGCACATATGGGGAAACTGAGGCATCTCAAGGACAAATGACCCAGGTGGGGTCCCCTGCAGCCCAGGGCTGGGGTATTGCAGCTGCTTCTGCTGAGGTGTCCAGCCACTGCACAGCCAGGCCTGGTGAGGGAGTGCTGTCAAGCTGCAGTGCCTGCCCGCTGGGGGTGGAACACCTGCTTGGAGCCAGGCCGGCTTCCCACCCCTGCTCACAAGGGATTGTGTGTGCTTTCTGTTGTTGTTTTATTTTGATATGGAGTCTCGCTCTGTCGTCCAGGCTGGAGTGCAGTGGGGTGACCTCGGCTCACTGCAATCTCCTCCTCCTGGGTTCAAGCGACTCTCCTGCCTCAGCCTCCTGAGTAGCTGGGATTACAGGCATGCACCACCATGATAATTTTTTTGTATTTTTAGTAGAGAGGGGGTTTCACCGTGTTGGTCAGGCTGGTCTCGAACACCTGACGTTGTGATCCACCTGCCTCGGCCTCCCAAAGTGCTGGGATTACAGGCGTGAGCCACCGCGCCCGGCCTTTCTTGTTCTGTTTTGTTTTGTTTTTTAAGTAGAGACAAGGTCTCCCTGTGTTGCTCACACTGGTCTTGAACTCCTGGGCTCAAGCAATTTGCCTGCCTCAGCCTCCTCCCAAAGTGCTGTCGTGACAGGCATGAGTCACTATGTTCAGTCCCGTATTTGCTTTAACATTCTTGAAATCCTTCAGTGTTTCCGAATAAGGGGCCCTGCTCTCTCATTTCACACTGGGTCTCCCGAATCTGGTAGGTGACCCTGTCCTGGGCAGACAGAGGATGGGAGCTTTTTGTCCCCAGCCCCCAGCTGTGGCCTGTGTCCTGGAATCCCCTGGTGCCTGGCCAGGCCGCTCGCTGGCCACCCTGTGCCTGTCCTCTGAACTGCAGTCCACACAGAGGCGGACTGCCCTGCCATCCAGCTGTCCCCATGCTCACCGTGTCCTGGATGGCCACCAGCTCCTGCCACTGGACCTGGGATGTGCCTTTCACTGCCTGCTCATACACTAGGTCATAGGTGTCCAGCATGGCATCCTCCACCTGCACCAAGAGATCACAGGGAGGTCCTGGCCCTGGTGGGAGACCCGGAGACAGAGCCCCTCCCCACGACATCCAGAAGGCTGCTGGGCCCTCGGTGCTGAGTGATGTCCCAGCACCGCCCCTCTTTGCCTCAGGTGCATCTCCCCAAGGGGGAGCCCAGGTCCCTGGGCAGCCGGTCACTGTGCTTCCCAACTTCAGCAGTGGGACTTCCATTCAATGGCCATCAGTGTGGCCCTCCTGCACCCAGAGGTCCTGCAGGATAAAGCAGAGGCCTAGCTCTGTGTCCGCCCCGCTGTGGTCTTGCAAAGTCAGCTCAGGGAAGTGTCCACCCTGCTACTGTGGACCTGGAGACAGGCGACAGGGCTGGGCCTGGTGGAGAGCCTTGGAGAGGCCCTGTGCCGGGACCTCAGCTCCCGAAAAGCTGGGGGAGTCTAGGTCTTTCCCCAGAGTTACTCAGCTGCCTTCCAGAAGGCCAGGCAGGTGGGCGCTGGGTAAGGCTTTGGGCCAGAGACGCCTTGGGGACCTGGCATCAGATCTGGGTGGACGAGGCCACCGTGGGGCAGGGAGTGGAGAAGGTGGAGGTGACAGGGCCTGGGTGGGTGCTGGCTGGACGCTGCCTGTGCTCCACACTCCAATGCCACCTAGACCTTCTGTCTCCACCCTCCTAAGCAAGATGCCCTCCCCTACCAAGTTACTCCGTCAAAGACGGACTGGAATCTCGACTCCTACAGGAAGGCTTCTGTGACTGCTCCAGGGGTCGCTAGTCTCATGGCACAGGGCCAGGCCCTCTTTGAGGTCCCTGCCCACCAATGTCTCCTTCCTGCCTCAGAGGCCCTCAGTTGTCCTCCACATGCCATGCTGACAGCAGGGACACCCTGAGGGGGTGCTCAACAGCTGCCCCAAAGGGCGGGAGTGGAATGTAAGCCCCAGGCCTGCTCTGGCCACTCATACCTGCCCTCCAGAAAGGAGGGTGGCTGCCAGCCGTGCTTATTGCACTGGGGCCCGACCTCCGTGGCAGGCCCTGCCAACAGCCAACTAGGCGGGCAGCAGGCAGTGGAGGGAGGCTCCTGGTCAGCTCTGCCCAAGCCAGGAGGCCCCAACAGGAGCCAGATGGACTTTTGAGGCCAAACTTGGCTCCTGACCCTAATTAATCCCCCCACCGATGGCTAATACAAGTCCGTGAGTCACCCTGACTCAGCCAGTCTCATCCTCCCCTCAGTGCCCCGGCAGGCCACACCACTGTCGGCCTGGGCGGGGGCCTTGTTCAGCCTCAGCATCTGTGAGTGTGAAATGGATGGAGTCTGGCCGGGCCATTGTGTCCTTGTGGGTGGAGGTCCTGGGAATGGAGGACTGGAGGCCTGGCCGAGCGGGCTTGGGGTCCACTGGGACCTCCCCTCCTGCTTCCTTCCCAACTCCAACGACTGTCCCCATTGTCAGGCGCCTGCTACGGCCCAGGGAGGACACAGGTGCCTCCGAGGCTCTGAGCAAGGTGTGGTGATTACCGCGGCACGGGTGGGAGTGCTCAGCGAGGGCTGCTCTGCCCGGCTCTGCCGTGTGGCCCTCCCCACCACCGCGGAGGGAGCGCTCAGCGAGGGCTGCTCTGCCCGGCTCTGCCATGTGGCCCTCCCCACCACCGCGGAGGGAGTGCTCAGCAAGGGCTGCTCTGCCCGGCTCTCTGCCGTGTGGCCCTCCCCACCACCGAGGAGGGAGCGCTCAGCGAGGTAGCCCTTCTGCCTCGAAGCCCACAGCCTGGCCCTGGAGGGCCCTGGAGGCCAGGCCGGCCGCTCGCCACAGGGCTGGGGCTCCCAGGTGGTGCTTCACTGTCTACCTCCATTCCATGGTCTGGGGGCTCTGTAGGGGCCTGGGGCCTGGATTTCTCAGGACACCTGGGGGCATCTGCTCCCTGTCAGGTACCAATGCACTCAGCTCTGTCTTCTGGTGCCCAGGGCAGGGAGAGTGCTTCGGGACAAGGACCGGGAGTGGCAGGACCAGTGCAGAAGTCCTAGCTGCTGGGCCACCCGTCCCGCCGTGCGTTCCTCCAGCCCCTGCCCAGGCTGAGGCCTGAAGTGGGGGTTTCCCACTGCAGCTTATCCCCATGACCAGATGGTCCCTGGTATCTGCCTGGCTCGATGACCCCATCCTGTGTCTGCTGAAAGTGCTCAGGAAGGTACAGCAGGCCCTGGGCGGCGGGTGGGAGGGATTTGCGGGAGGCCTGTGGACCCGCCACACAGGTCCAGGACTGGCTCTGGCCTGAGCCTGCTGGGCCTCTGGAGGATCCAGGAAGCGGGGTGGCTCCGGAGTAGGGCCAGACCTGGACGATGAGGCTGCACCCCCCACTGCCGTACTTAATTGGAGCCTGAATTATTAAAGGGTGCTGGGCCATCCATTTCCCTGGTGCAGACTCATCTCTTGGGCAGGGGAGGGTTGCGGCAAAGTGGCCCCCAGGCCTGGAGAGGGTAATTAATAGCCCTCAAGCTCCAGTTCATCCCTGCAGCCCAGCCTGCGCCTCCTGCCCACACGAGCATCACAGAAAGTGGCTGCCGGGACTCCCTGGGGCAGGGATGGGATGGGGAGGGGCACCCCACTCTCAGCCCTGGGCCAGGGCACGTGGCCGACCCCTTTCCTCCTCTGTCCTCTGCCTTCGCATCTGCAGGGCTGCCCCACGAGTTATCCGGACCTTGAGTTCAGGACACCTCAGGGGACCCGTGGGTGGGGGAGTGCAGGGGGAAGGGGGTGGAGGGGCCGGGCTGGTGCCAACAGCCTGGGTCCTTTGGCCTTTGCCACTGTCTGGGCTGCCAGCAGGACCTTGCTGGACAGGAAGCCCAAGGCTGAAGCCTGTTTGGCTCCGGTGGGACCTGAGGGTAGAGGGCAGAAGACGGGATGTACAGCCACCTGTCCTGCTCAGGGCCCAGGCCTTGGCACCAAAGCTACCCTGTCCACACCCAGGACAGCTCCGAGTGAGTCCCATGTCCTGGAAGACCAGGCTGGGCAATGGGGCATGGCAGGGGGCATGCAGGGGAGACGGAGGAGTCTTTGCACACACCCGGCTGCAGCCCCTGGATCTCAGCCCTCCCTTCACAGAGAAGGAAACTGAGGCCCAGGAAGATTAAGTGGCTTGCCCAAGGGGGCCCCAAGGAGCCTGACTTCAAATTCAGAACTCCTTCGCCTAGGCCACCCCCATGCCCACCAGGCCGACACAGACCATGCCAAAAGTCAAAACCCACTGGGAGAGGCAGATAGGGCCCAGAGGCCAGAGGCCCGGTAGGAAGCCTCAGTCCCGTCTGGGGTCAAGCAAAGCCCTGAGAACTGACCCCTGAAGGCCAGCTGGGCCCACGGGCCAGATGAAGGCAATGAGTGTGGGGGTGCTGCCCGGGGCTGGGACAGGCCAGAGGCCAGCCCGGCAGGGGCGTCTATCTTTTTGCACCCCCTTCCCTTCCTTCCCTTCCCGGGGAGCAGGCCCCAGCTGTGTTCCGTACTGTGCCCCCTGCACAGCCCCCTTTCCTGCAGCACTGTGGCCCCTGGGTCAGAGCCATAAACACAGAAGCACTGGGCAAGGGCTGCAGCTGCCCCCGATGAGCCTGGGCACCCTGGCAGCTGTCTTGACCTCGGCCACCCACACCGTGACCCAGACCTCAAATGAACCAGACCCCCTCTCAGTGGACAGGAAACGTGAGGCCAAAACACAGACCTGGCCCAGCTCTCTCAACAAGACTACTGGGCCGGTCCTCAAGGCACAGGCCTCTTCTGGGGGTTAAGCCCCTCCGGAAGCTTCTGGGCCTGAGAAAAGAGTTCATCCAAAATGATGCTGGGGGTAGGTGAATACTTTGGAGCCAGCCATGGGCAGGGAAGGGGAAAGAGGCCTTGGTTCCGGGCCAAGAGCCTTTGTGATAAGCCTGTAGCCCCCTCCAGTCCTGGCACTGTCAGGGTAACCTTGAGCTCCCCCCAACCCTGGAGGGCCCGAGTTCCCCCATCTGCAAACCACATGGAGACCACCACACTCAGGCTGCCACTGCAGCTCCGGCACCTGCACAACAGATGCCCGCAGAGCCCACCTGCACAACAGACGCCCCCC